CTTCTAAATTTGAGCAACGGCTATATGTTTTTGAATAGAGATTAAAGTAGTTAGATTGATTCGGTGTTAATATGAAAGAAAGTTTGACTCCAAGTAAATTACTTTCTATCGGTTTTTTTCACCGTCGCTTTAGTCAAAGACTATAAAAATAGTTAGCATATTTGACGATTACCAATTTACCATACTTCTTCAATTTTCTTAAAATTAAACAAAATATTTGATTTGAGAAAATCCATCTAATATTGTCATAAATGGAAGTATATCACAAATTCACAATTACACGAGTCAAAGACCATAAACTCCATTCTTGTGAATTGCCACTTACATGCAAAAGGAAATTTATTAATTTGATATTATTCAAAAATGTATAATACTACTTTATAGAATATTTTCAAAAATATATAAATCTACTTTATAAAATATTTTCAAAAATATACACTTTCTAGAATAAATAATGTACTCTTTATAATCTGCTGTAGATTTTATAATCTTGGGATAGTCAAGAACAGCTAGATTTTGTTTACATATAATTAATGCATGATATTTAAACATGTAAATCTATTTCAAATTTTCAACATTAATCATATTATTAAAGTTTAATTAATTTCAAACAACACAAAATCTTTTGAATAACACTAAATTTTAAAATTGATTATAAGGTAATGAGTTTAGAAAATAACAGCCATTACCATGAAATGTGGTTCTTTTATATTTGTAATTTTTGCAATTGATTATAAGATTATGGATTTACAAATATTAGCCATTACCATGTAATGTGGGTTTTTTTTTTGTCAACCAAACTATAAATTAAAAGGCGCCACTAGAATTGGTAATCCAATTCGGCGGCAATTTACTTACATACGAAAAATCAAAAACTCGACGTGCAGGACGGGTTAAACAGTCCGCATTTAAATTACTAGAATGGGAAATGTGGTTCTTTTATATTTGTAATTTCTATAAAATGCACAAAATGTTACTAGAATTTGTAAAAAGTATAATGAAATATTTTATAAATGCAATGTATATATTTAGAGCTTAATAATTGACTAACATAATTTTAGATAATTTATACTTTATATTTTTTTTTACCTTATTGAAAAAGAGAAATACAAATCCATTGTAGTTAAAGAAACTATTATGTAAGTGCATCCTCTAATGTTATATCATTAAATTTGAAAAAAGCTTTATTCATGTATCAAATTAATGAGTCAACTCTCATTTAGAGAAATGCCATTATTATGCTCTCCCTCTTTCTTTGACACTGTCTCTCTTCTTTAACCTATAAACCTTTTTCTAATTTAATTTAGTTTTAAAGTTACAACTACATCTACAAAGATCATCGACTAATCTATATTTAGATTATTTCTTTCTCCAAAAGTTCATAATTATTTACCTAAATATATATTGGTGGATGATAATAACATCAAATCT